ATGCTCAGAATATCATATGTACATCATATAACTAACGACGCAGTAATGCAACGTTTACAAAAAGAACCTGAAGTCTTGAAATCCATTAAAGAGAGAAAGTTAGCATACTATCGGACATATAGTGAGAAATGAAAATAAATACAGAATCCTACTATTGATATTAGAAGGGAAAATAGAAGGAAATAGAGGACCAGGACGCCGCCGAATATCCTGGCTTAAGAATTTGAGACAGTGGACAGGTATAACCACCACAGACCTATTTCGAACAGCTGCTAATAAAATACGATGGGCCATTGTGGTAGCCAACATCCATAGAGGATAGGCACTAGCAGAAGAAGAAGAAGAACAATGTACAGAAGAACGCGGATTATGCATCGAATGTTTTAACGATTACCTTCAATAGTGCAACATTTTGTGTTATTAATATAAACAAATTATATAGTAATGCTATGAGTTTGAATTTTTTCTTATTGTTTATCTAGTTTTTAAGTTTTTTATTACATTTTGTTTTGGCTTTAATTGTTTTGACAGAGTTTTTTTTAAACAGTCTTCAATAATCTTTTAAAGTAATAGTATAAAAATATATTGACACACATGCGTGTCAATCAGCACCTGACAAAAAATTATACCTAGATGGGCCCGACACGCATGCGTGACATTAAAAAAACAAGTAAACTCTCTATATATGTTTTTAGTTCAGTACTAAAGCAATTATAAAGCCCAAAAAATTAAAATTTTTAGAAAAAAAAATGCCGCACCCGGCAACTCCGTAATAAGCATACTAAAAGGTACATATTTCACTCAATATTAAGTCCTGACCTTTATATAAGTGTTCCAAAAAGTAATTTTCGTTTTATGGCATTAGAAATACACGTTTTTCCAATTACTACATTCTGCTTTCTGTTTTGTTGAAAACAAAAAACCACGTTGTATTAATATTTAAATATGCAAACCACTATTAAATAATAATTTACACAATAATATGAACATCACTAATTGAGTTGCATTATTTATTTCGTTAAATAAACATTAAAGAATTAGTGTCAGACAGAGACGTGACATTCTATATGCCTGATTCATTCTTATAAGGAAGTTTGTACTTTCTATTAGCGAGTAAATAAACAAAACTTTCAGATTTGAGTTCTTTTATTTCGTTTTTGTGTAATCAGCGATTTATTCTAAAATCATTATCGGGTAAATGAAGGAAACAATTAGGAATGATTGGTTTTTAAAGTTAGTTGTGGTTTCTTGAATAGGAAAACAAAAACGCTTATTGAGTTTTTCATCTAATTTAGTGAAATAAAAATAATATAACAAATAAAAGTGTAGATGATGTAGAAAGATGAGTGAAATTAGTTTAACTATAGTTCATTTCAGACGTCCGTGCAGTAAAGGAATGTGCAATTTCCGTTTGAAAACCAGTATTTAACAGGCTCCATAGCAATAAGGGTTTCAAAGAGTCTCCTATACAATAGTTGATGAGCCTATAATGGTTTTATTTACAAATGTTGAAATAGTGGCCTATTGGAATATAGCCGCAGCTACATTCCTTTACTGCACGGACATGTGAAATTAACTTTAGATTAAGCCATTAAGCAAACTGTTTATGTAGTAAATATAAAATTAGCGAGGTAATTATTTAAAGTAGTAAAAATGAAGTGCATATGGTTGTAAATATAAGAACAGACAATTGGCACAACTTATTTTTATTGAATCATCAGCAGCAGATGAACTATAAAACCACTTACGTTTGGTTGTAAATAATGGTAGCAGTAGTTGAGAATACAAACTCAATAGAATGCAAACACAAATCTAGAAAGTCATTAGAAAAACGTGCAAAGAAGCTAAAGAAAACTGGATGTCAACAAAATGCCTAGAAACTAATCAACCTGAGGAAAAATACGACACCTTTAATGTCCATAAAAAAGTAAAAGGAAATGACGAGTAGACACAGAAAAAGACAACCAACTAATGATGAGTACAGAACACAAACTAGATGAATTAAAATAATACCTTCAGACACGTTTTGAAAATGGTAGGCCACAGATGATCGAATAAATGACAAATGTCATTTTATTAAGATGCCCTTTTCCCATCCTTCAAACGCTTTTCTCATAATATGCTTCCCATATATATTCAACTTGGAATCTGAAAGAAAATCCGATTTTCAGTTAAGAAAAGCAATGGGAATAGTAACCTGAAATGTTTGAGAATTATTGCAACCAGGCAAACTGCATATATTACAACGAGAAGTCGAAAGAAAGGATATAGAAATACGCAGACATTCGGAGACCCATTGTAAAGGACAAGGACACTTCCGAACGGCAGATCATGTTATATACATATCGGGAGCATATAACACAGAAAGAAATTATGTTGCAATTATGGTGACTAAAAAATTTCACAATACGTGTATAAATTACCAAACGGTAAATGATAGACTTATAAAAATACCCTAACTAGCATCACCAAACAAAATGCACATTTTTCAAGTTTATATGCCATCCTTAGACACGTTAGATAATGAAATGGAAGACGTTTACTTCATTATTGAAGACACAATAAGAAATATTTTATCTAAATAACCACTCATAATCATGGGCGATTTGAACGCTAACGTAGGAGAAACATGAAATGATTACATCCAAAATGAATAGAAACAGCAGAGGCGAAGGTTTAATAGATTTTGCAACCAAAAACAGTTTAAATATTGTAAACGCAATGTTCAAACATCATGCCCGTCGTTTATCGACGTGGACCAGCCAAATGGAGAATAAAAGAACCAAATCAACTACATATTGATTAGAAACAGATGGGAAACATGTTTTACAAACGTAAATACTAGACCAACAGCTGAATGTAGATCCGATCATAAATTGTTATGGGCTTTCTTCAAGATGAAGCTAAACAGAACAATGCCGCACCAAAATCAAAACAGGCTGGAGATTTCAAATCCGAAAACATTTACGAGATGCATTAAAGGAAACTAGTATGTTGAACACACAAGAAAACCCAGAAGAAATGTAGAAAGGTTTTAGAAATGCCATGGAAACCTCTGTAGAAAGAACCAGAACCGAAAAAAAGATCATCAAAAGAAAACACTGGATGACAGACAGAATGCTGCAACTTCTCGAAGAGTGAAGGAAAATCAAATCTCTCATATATCAAAACGACAGCAACAAAACCGAATTAGCAAGGTTAAATAAATAAATTAAAAGAGCATGTAGGAATGATAAATATAAACATATAAATGAAGATTGCGAAGAACTAGAGAGACATGCAAACCGGTATGAATCCCATGAGCTATATAACAAAGTCCGATATCTATCTAGGAAATTTAAACCAACCACACAAACAATAATGGATCAACACCAACATATTATAAATGACGAGAAACGGATTGCGGAGGTATGGAGAAAATATTGTCAAAGTCTATTTGTAGATGATCCCCAGAATGCAAATTACGACGAGTTCACTGCAGAGAGAGAACCAAATATTCTGAAGTCAGGAGAAGAAACCGGAGAGTGGCTCAACAACTGGACAACATCCACTTTCATCCCTACATTCAAAAAAGGAACTAGATTGCAGCAACTTAAAAAGATTGGAAATAAATTCAACATTTCAACAGCATTCAAAACAAGAACCACATTGAGATCTATTTTATCTAAAACTAAACCTAACAATGAACAAGAAAGAACAAAAAGTTGTAATTATAAAATACATTGTGAAAGCGGTCAGTTTTATATAGGTGAAACATCAAGGTCATTAAATGTTAGAATAAGTAAACATAAATCTTATATTAAAATATAAAAAATAGAGAATTTGATAGATCTCAAATATGTAAACACGCATGGAAAAATAAACATAGGGTTAAATGGAATGATTCAAGTATAGTCCTAAAAGAAACAGATGGTAAAAAGAGAAAAATCGAAGAAAGCATTATGCTAAATGAGACTAATTGTGTCGCAAATTCCTCCGCAGAATGCAGTAGGATCTGGTTACCCATATTAAAAGAGGAAGTTAATAAAAGAAAAATACCACTATTAGTAAGTCAGTAATTTATCGAGGATACATCATTTATGTTTTTTAAATAACAACCCAATAAAATCAGAATTTGGTGTTTATTGAAAGTAAACTAAATGTAATACTAAATACTAACCATCTCGGGATAGTATTATAAGGATTTTTTCCTCATGATTTACTATGGAATCACTAACAGGAAAATTTTACTGTCATCATGGCATGTGATTGTCATTTTAAAGACGAATCACATGCCAGGATTTTTTTCTGACGGATAACCTCAAGTTAAAGATGATTTCATGTAATCGAATGAACTTACAATAAAGTCGTCCCAGGAACGCAACTCAGCAATACTGGCAATATTATTCTAAAGTCTACTTTAAAATGTTTAATAAATGAGTCAGATATAATTAAATTATTTGAAGAATTTTTCACCAAGTAATAAATAAAAACAAAATTTGTTTAGTTTATTAATGTTTGTATTTTGAGAACGATTTCCAAAGTGGACCGACAATAAACTTATCAATTATGGCTTATTCCCAATAAAATAGTAATTAAATAGACAAAGAAAATTAGAGAGTGAGACACTTTAAATACACAAAATATAAGAATAAGCATGCTGCCAAAATAAGTAGTGGAGAACTTCTTTCAGGCAATATAGATGTGCAAACGGTGGACAAGATGGAAAAAAACACTTATATCCAAGAACAATAAATATATGAAATGAAATATTACATAAATTATATTACATATTACATAAATATTACAGTTATCTATTTACTATTACTATTTAGCATCTACATTCAAGTTGTGGCTATTTAAATGTAACACTGAAGATGATCTTCTTTAAATAACGAAACGTAGTATATATACACACTATTCCCAATATTTATGAGTAGCACAATTCTGAAAATTTTTCACAAATTTGATCCAGCAATGGAATTTTTTCTCGTTAAAAATGTATACAATATGGTACTTACCGAAAGCAGCAAAAGAAAGGATAGTAATGGTAAGCGCTCTCATGTCGACTGCCTTTATCCTTGACTAAACTAAAAGTTAAATAAACTGCAGCTCTTTGCTGGACTGGACACTTCACACTTTCTATACGCGCGACCGATCGCCATGCGAATGCTATTGAGTTTTAAGACAATCTAGTACTCAGCTGAGGTCTGCAGTGGCGGCTTTACCCCTACAAAGAATTTGTAGATCTTTAAACAGTGTGTTGTGATGTCCGCCTTACTATAATTTGTTGCATTTGCTTACTTCAATTTTATTCTCATTTGGAAATAAAGCCACATAAATTCTGAAATAATTTATTGACGCACTAAATGGCTATACGCATAAAATGGCTATTTACTGTTGAAGTAAAAGAAATTAAGAAGCCTTACAAAGTACCATATAATTAATTTCACGGTGCCATAAGCTCAGATAATCCTGAATCTGTTTTTAATAATTCGAAGATATTAATTAGTCTAATTACTAGCACCACAAGCTAGAAAAGCAGCAGCTTTTCTAGCTTGTGGTGAACTTGCAGCAACCCTGACGGTCTTTGGCTTAAGTACCTTGGGTATTTTCGTAGTACTGCATTTATTTGATTTCTTCACTTTGGGTTGCCGTTTTTACTTTAGCCTCTGCGGAAGTCGGAACTGCGGATGAAGATGACGCAGCTTTAATTTTTTTTTTGAAACTAGGCTTTGCAAATCCAGAAAACGACGATGAGATAGACATTAACTTGAAAGATCCTGATGCGCCTTTTCGTTTTGTTTGCACCGATGATTCAGTAGCAACTGCAACTTTTAAATATTTTTTGATGAATGGTGCAACTTTTTCCGCATCTACTTTGTAATTTTAACCTAACGTCTAAAACTGTTAGTGTTGGTTTTTTTTATTATAATGAGACAAAAACCAACACTAACAGTTTTAGACGTTAGGGAAAGAGAGGAGCTGACTGTGGAAGTGATCATTACCTAGTAATCGGAAATATGACCATACCAAAATTGGGAAAATACGAAATAGCAAAGGTAAATAAGAACGTAACAACAAATAAAGAGCACTATAATCTACAAAGTCTAGAAGATAACAGCGTGCAGTATTTATACCAAAGAAGGTTAGATGGAAAACTGGTAATAGAAAATAGAACAATAGAAGAAGAATACAAGCACACAGTACACAGTATTAAAGAAGCAGCAGAAGAGGCAATAGGCACTCAAAGACGCGCAAAACAAAAACCATATTGGTGGGATGAGGGAATAGATGAAATGATAAAGAAGAAAAAATAAGCATACCTAACATATCTAGATAAAAAAGACGACCCCACTAAAGAAATATATAAAAACCTAAATAAACTGGTGAAGACGGAAGTAACAAAAAGGAAAAATAGATCTTGGGAAAAGAAATGCGAATACATAGAAGAAATGATTGGAGGATCGAAAAGTTCAGAAGCCTGGAGAACGCTAAAATCTATGAAAACGTCAACCAACAATAAATTAGATTTAAGTAACATAACAGAAAACAGAGACGTACGATCAGAATTCATTGAATTAAACATGACAAATATCGTAGAAGCCAGGAAACATCTCACCAGAATTTATTAAATACGGCTCAGCTAAACTGTGGGAAATGCTCAAAGATCTGTTCCAACGATGCCTGAATGGAGAAGAGAACCCGTTAGAATGGCGTGAGGCCTATATAACCCCAATATACAAAAAAAGAGCACGAAACAATGTCAGAAACTATAGAGGAATTGCTGTCATCCCCACTATAGGACGACTGTACTCCCGAATACTTAGAAACCTCATAGAAGAAGACATTCGTATGAAACAACCAGAAGAACAATGCGGATTCAGAGCTGGAAGATCGACTATAGATAATCTATTTACACTTAAAATATTAAACGAAAAGCGACAACAAAGAAACAAAGAAACACATATAGCCCTGATAGATCTTGAAAAGGCATATGATAACGTGCCGATAAATAATTTATGGAGTGAAATGCAAAACATGGAAATAAAACCTTCGTTAATAATAGCAACTCAAAAGTGGTATGTAAATAACACCGCATCAATTAAAATAGGTGGCAAACTTAGTGAGAAATTCAACACTACAAAAGGGCTACGACAGGGATGTTGTTTATCACCTACGCTGTTTAAAATATATCTGGATCGATCTCTACAAAAGTGGCAAAGACAATGCAGAAATATGGGAATACAAATAGACGAGGATATTCTCTATACACTATTCTTCGCTGATGACCAACTGGTGGTAGCAGAAGATATAGACGATCTCAGCTATATGGTTAGGAAACTAAAAACAGCGTACGAAGAATGTGGACTGACAATGAACTTACAAAAATGCGAATATCTCTCAGTGGGGAAAAATACAGTCGAAGACCTGACATTGAAGAGTGACAAAATCAAAGGAACACATAGAGTAAAATACCTAGGAGTAGTGTTTACAAAAGACGGAAATAGCCATGAAGAAATAAATACAAGAATAAACAAAGGCAGAAACATTACCAAATGCCCAAACTCCATTCTCTGGGATAAAAAAATCACAAGAACGACGAAAAAACAAATATATAAGACGATAGTTGAGCCGATGGTAACATACGGAGCAGAGATATGGGACACTAGTAAAAGAAACAGGAAAAAATTACAAACTACCGAGATGGATTTTATGAGAAGAAGCTGTAGATTGACAAGGATGGACAGAATCCGCAATGAAGAAATAAAACGTAGAATGGAGCAATAAAAAGACATTATAGATGAAGTCCAGAAAAAACAACTAACTTGGTTCGGTCATGTAAACAGAATGGCAGACGAGTGACCAAAGAACATATTAAAATGGATCCCAACCGAAAGAAGCAAAAGAGGGCGTCCAAGAAAAAGCTGGCGAGATGACGTGAATGAAGCCATGGAAGGAAGACAGCTAAATGAAGCCGACACCCGAGATAGGAAACGATGGAAATTAGGGACAGGAAAACAACGACAGTTGTAAACAACCTGTACTAATATATATATAATATATATATATATATATATATATATATATAATATATATATATACTTTGTAATTTGCAGCAATATACTTTTTGATAGCTTAAAGAAAAGAACCACATCTTTCCTTGAGCCCTATGATAGCATTGTTTACCATTTCAGATGTTGGAGAATAAGAAGGTTTTGTCTGTGGATTTTTTACCTTTTTTTCCTGTTTTGATGGCGAAGATGTTTGAGGCGCTTCAGATGCCGACTTAGCCGAAGCAGCTGATGATTGATTTTCTGTTTCTGCCATTTAGTTGGAGATATAAAAAAATCTTTTAATATGCGGTATGTAACGATTCACTGACTAAAGAATACCAGAAGACTAAATAAATCTCTAACATTTAAAAGCATTTAAAACGTAGATTTCCAAACTGGTCTATATAAAATTCAGGATAAATTTCTACTTGCAGAGGACAGTCCCCTTGATCGTCTACATTTGGATATATCTACATAATCAGCCACACTGAAGTTGTATGAAATCATAGAGTCTCAAAGTGGTCTATATAGGCCCACAGGAGTTGATTTCGGTATAAACGACAACAATAGAAGAAGAATTAAAAAAATCAGCTACAAAAATGTGTTAAATAATAAATACCAATAAAACGAAGTATATGAAAATAAGCACGCCACCACACATTCTACTCCCACTTGTTACAATGGCCAACAGATGTTATTTTTTGCTCAATCAGAGACCTGTACTCTAACAAAAAGTAATGAAAACATGTTAGTATGATACTATATGAGACGATACAACTTCGAACTCTATAAAAATAAGAGGAACCAGATATTATAAAACATATTAAGGTAGGAGGTCTGAGGTAGATATGATATTTAATTCGGATAGAACAAAATGACCCAGCTAGAAAAACGCTCCTTGGTAGAACCATTGGCCAGAGAAGAAGAGAAAGACCTAGAACATGGTTCCTTGATAACATCGATGAAGACATAAGAAATATGGAAATACGTGCTTGGCGAAGGAAGGTGATGGCTAGAAACGACTCGAGAGAAATTCTTGAGGAGGTTAGGATCCACGTATGGTTGTAAAGCCAGAATGATGATGATGATTCTATGAAACTAGGAACGTGTCACCATGATAAAGTAAGTAAAAATTTGCTGTATTTTAAAAATCTGAAAAAAAAAATCAGAAAAGAAGTACAGTAGACAAAACGTTCGCTTCAAAAGATTCTGAAACTGTTTTCTTGTGACATGTTTAATATTATGTTTATATGGAACTAAGCCACAATTGACTATAACAAAAACAACAACAATTTGAAGCCGTTATCGCTAATACTAAATAGATATGAAGAATGCTTAATAATAGCTAATGAAAACCGCTTAAACTATTTATGAACAGAGAAAGACAACCAATATGGCATTGGAATACTTTTAAAATCTTCTATTTTCAATATATAAAAGATTGTATGATCAAATAATTGGTCCCTTGAGCTAAATTCCTAGCCTATTTAAATATTAAACAGGTTTCCGCTGCAATCTCAAACAAAAAGATGATAGCCTAGAGAAATTTTACAAAAACCTAGAGAAGACTATATTCATAAAAAAAAAACGAAATCAACAGTATTATGGTAGACTGGAATACAAGTGTTGGCTATAAAAAGATCTAGATCATATCAGCATTGCACTTACTGTCACAAAAATTATCTTAGTTCTTGTTTTAGGGTAAAAATTCGAGACAAAATTGGGATTGCATGAACTGTCACATAAATGAGCTTAGTTCTCGTCTTATTCAGTTCTGAAAAAAAAATTATTGCTTTTTATACCTTAGACTTTAGGTAGATTATGCTATAAACAGATAACAACCGAATTATCTAAATCAAAACAAAAAATACTGCATTTTTAATGCCATATTTTTTTATTTTAAGGTTGTTTTGAAATAATGATTTATAATAAATAAACATATATTTTTTACCTTACTTAACTTAAATTTTTATTTATTTCACCTCTCTTATTTAAAATTAGTAAAAA